TGGAGATATACAATTGGATATCATCCGCGTACTGATGATACCTCACCCCGTTTCGCCGAATGATCTCACCCAGCGGTTTCATGTAGATGTTAAAAAGGAGGGGGGACAGGACCGAGCCCTGAGGCACCCCATAATCGAGGCGCCTAGGGGTCGATCTCTGTCCGCCCGCCAAAACCAACTGCGACCTGTTAGAGAGGTAGGAGGAGAACCACCGCAATACCCCCACCTCTCCGAGACGACGCAGAAGGATACCATGGTCGATGGTATCGAAAGCTGCTGAGAGGTCAAGAAGCACCAGGATAGAGGAATAACCCCTATCCCGGGCTCGCCAGAGGTCATCGGTCAGTGCGACCAAAGCAGTCTCAGTGCTGTAGCCGGGCCTGAAACCAGATTGAAAAGGGTCCAGATAATTGGTTTCCTCCAAGGATCGCAAGAGTTGAGACACCACCACCTTCTCTACAACCTTCCCCACAAAGGGGAGGTTGGAGATGAGATGGAAGTTCTTCAAAACAGCTGGGTCCAGGGAAGGCTTTTTGAGAAGGGGCCTCACCACCGCTTCCTTTAAAGGTTGCGGGAAAGACCCCTCCATCAAGGAGGCGTTGATTATCGCCTGGAGCCAGCCTCGTGTCACCTCCCTACTGGCAGAAACCAGCCAGGAGGGGCACGGGTCCAATAAACAGATGGCGGCATTCATTGCCCTCACGGCCTTGTCCACTTCATCAAGGGTCACAGGCTCAAACTCACTCCAGATAACATGACTAAGACCAGCCCCTGGCAACTCGGCTGGCACTGCCCTAGTGATCGGTCAGATTCAGAGTTACTGGCCCTCCAACGTCGCTCTAGACGTCTCTTGTGGCGCTTCATCTCCCGGAGCTCCTCAGTAAACCAAGGGGCCCTCTGGGGACCACCACCACAGAGAGGTCGCAAAGGCGCAATTCGATCCAGGGCCCCGGACGCCGCCTCATTCCAGGCCGCAACCAGGGATCCGGACGAGTTGTGGACAAGGGAGTCAGGTATTTCCCCAAGCTCCTCCTGGAACCGATCTGGGTCCATTAGGCGCCTGGGGCGGAACCACCTAGTCGGCTCCCTCTCCCTGCGATGGGGGAGTGATGCTCTGAAGTCCAGCCTCAATAGGAAATGATCTGTCCATGACAAGGGCGAGATCTCTATTCCCCTTAATTCCAGATCATGTCTCCATTGCCCCAAGAGAAACACAAGGTCGAGTGTGTGACCACCCCTATGAGTTGGATCCTGAATTACCTGGGTCAGGTCCATGGTTGCCATGGAAGCCATGAACTCCTGCGCTGCCTCTGAGCGATCGCCGAGTGATGGCAGGTTAAAGTCCCCCAGTACTATAAGTCTGGGGAACTCCACCGCCAACCCGGCTACTGACTCCAGCAATGCAGGCAGGGCTGTTGCAACGCAGCTGGGAGGTAGGTACGTCAGCAACAAGCCCAACTGAACCCGTGAACCCAACTTCAATAGGAGGGACTCACACCCAACAACCTCCGGCGCAGGAATCCCACGAGGACTCAAGGACTTCCGAGCGATGACTGCCACTCTACATATACATATACTATTCTCTAAGTACTGTCACCACTCTTAATTTCATTCACTATCACTCTTACTTGAATAGTCGCCTGTTTTTATTTCTTTACTATGCTATGATTACTTTTCCACTTCTATTTAGTTCAATTACTCAGTTACACTTATTTCTATTTCATTAACACAATTCATTTACTTCATTACTTTTAATACATTTGCCTGAGACCACTTTTTTACTTGTAGCTTAATCACTGCTTGTATATGAGTGACTATTCAATCAGCCTTTTTTCCCTCAATCTCAATTTAATATGTCCACCAATTCACCAACTATCACCTCTTATTTCTTCTTCTCTGTATCCAATATTTCCAAAACATCCACTCGTCACTTTGTCCAGATATATGTCAACTAAAGTCCAAATTTCAATGTTATTTGTTCTTCAAAAATAAACTAAATTTCTCCGTTGTCTCCCTTCACCTTTTAATCCTTATGTTAATTTCTCAAAGTCCTTCTTAATCACCTTTCATTGCCTCCAACCGTCCTTTCACCAGTCCTTTCTTTGATTTCATTCACAACTTCTTGCAGTTCTTAAATTCCAGTCTCTCACATTTTGTAAACTTTGCTGTGGGCTCTCAGCATTCTTCACGCTGTTCTCGTTCTGCTCTATTTGCTCCCTTCTCCGCTCTGTTTCAATTCAGTTGCCACTGTATTTCTCTCCTTATAGCTTTACTTTTCCTGTGCCTTCTCTCAGCCAAATGATCCTCACCTCTTTCAGGGGTTTCCTCGTCTCCTGTTACAAAGCTGTCAGTTCAATTTTTCACTCCCTCTCAGGCTGCCGTTATCGCTCCAGGCCAGCCTTAAAGACTGGTTTCTTCTCCATCAATTTTAAGAGTGCTGCTTCATTCTGCTCAGGTGTTTGCTTTCCACCCGGGTTCTCTGAAGCTTCCTCTTTAATTTACCGATCTCTCCGGGATCAGCAAAGCCCTTGCTGGGCTCTTGGCGAAGATTTTCCCAGGACTTAGGAACAGAGATCTGTTCCTTCACCCGCTCGATGATGACGTCACAGCCAGAAGTCCCTATATCACGTTTTTTCTACGTGTTTCACTTTTCTTCTTTATAACTGCTATTCTAATAGCAAATCCTTCATAAAAGTTATTGCATTACATTCTTGATTAAATTATCTTTCCATTGATATATAATTTTATGGTACTACTCCAAAATAAATATGTTCTTTAAGGAAATCTTTTTTGCCTTGGAGCTCTTTTTACTGGTCTCATCTATCGCAGCCATGAAACCAGGATTACTACCTTCACCTGAAAGGCACTTTCTAAAGTGGTATGGACATGTCCCAACAACCTCTCTTTTTGCTGTCTCTCCATGATGTTGTGTTTGTCTCATCAGCAGCCTGCATTTGAAGCAGCCATAAGCCTTTCTTAGCTGTGCCAATGTTGAAGTGGTGTTCTCCTTTTCACTCTGATAAATTTTGGGCATGGATATAATCTGATGTTTTCAATGATCATTATGTTGGTTGCATAGTCTAACGATCCTTTGGAAGTAGGATTGTTCTAGCTCACAGTGGCCACTTTTAAGATGGAGAAGACACAACCTCTTCACTCTCTATCCTGGGCACTGTCCTCCAGTCTCTTTTAAGCCTATAGGGACATCACCAAAGCTCAAAGAACCATCAATCATTTCACTTAATCAGGGGGCCAGTTCCAAAAGGGTGAATTCAAGATCATTTAGAACCTCACTGGCAGATCATTGGTTCCATGACTTCCCAGTAAAAGATACTTATGGCAGGAGAATCATTCAACACCTTCTAGTTACAGAGATCTTTGCCCTTCTATTAAGTCTTCACTCTGTAATCCAGCTCTAATTAAAATAATAAGGGACAACTTCCTGCCCAAAAACTATAAATACAGAATTCTAAGAACAGTTTGATGGACATAGAGGTGGCTAAACATTGATCTGATAATGGACAAATGTGCAATGTTCCAAGTTAGTCAGGTTTTGCAAACTATTATCCTCTTTCTCAGACTCAGAGAAGCCCATAGTGGGCAAGGTAATTGGAGAGTGGAAACCACCTCTGGAAGAGTTTTTATCTTCATTTGTATAGTCCCCTTCTGAAGTCCTGAAATGTTTTATATTCAGTCATGTTAAAAAGAAAGCATGCCCTCTTTGAGTTATAGGTTTTACGTATCAGGACATAGTAAAAATCATCTGGTTCTTAGCAGTTCTTTAAATTAGGTATATACATAGTCAGCTGAACAACAGCACATGACATATTACACTATGTCATCATTTATTTTACAAAAAGAAAGCCAAAATGGAGAAGCCATGTGGGGAAGAAACTAAGAACATCCCTACTGTTTCTATGGGTATGAAGAAGCTAAGTAGCAGCTAAGTGCTGCTATCAAATGACCTTAATCCAGTGGTCTATAAAACCCAAAGTTTTAGGAGTTTGCTGGTCTCCAGCATTGAGGGAAGGACATCAGTAATAATCTTAGACAACTCATTGTTGTTGCCTATCAGTCTGGGAAAGGTTATTTGCAAACAATTTAAAATACATCATTCTATGATGAAGAAGATCATTCACAAAGGCTGGCCAACATTGGGCTACGCAACAGGACAATGATCCCAAACACACCAGCAAATCTACAATAGAATGGCTGAAAAAGAAAAGACTCAAGGTGTTGCAATGGCCCAAAGTCCAGATCTCAACCCGATTGAAATGGTGTGGTGCAGTGGTTCTCAACCTTTCTAATGCCACGACCCCATAATACAGTTCCCCATGTTGTGGTGACCCCTAACCACTTATACATCACCGGGTGCCAGGGGCATGGCAAAGAAAAGGGGGGGAAATGGCGGACAGCCTTGTTTGGTGACCCCCGTGAAATGGTTGTTCGACCCCAAATGGGGTCCCGACCCACAGTTTGAGAACCACTGGTGTGGTGGGACTTCAGGAAAGCTGTACATAAACAAATGCTCACAAACTTCAATCAACTGAAGCAAAGTTGTAAAGAAGAATGAGCCAAAATTCCTCCACAGCAATGTGAGAGACTGATTAAGTGACACAGAAAACGATTACTTCAAGTCATTGCGGCTAAAGGTGATTCTACAAGCTATTAAATCATAAATTTTTCACGCACGGCTTCTCCATTTTGGCTTTTTTTGTGTAAAATAAATGATGACATAGTGTAATGTCATGTTGTTCATCTAAGTTTGCATTTACTTACTTTTAAGAACAGCTAAGAATCAGATTTTTACTATCTCCTCATAGATAAAACCATAGAAGTCAAACAGGATGTACTTTCTTTTTCACATGACTGATTCAAACACAAACTTAGTCACATAAGAATGTGTAAGAATGAACGTTTTGGTGACAGGATGGCATAAATAGCTTCTAGTTTAATTGAATACAAAAACTGTTGACATTTTTTTAATTGTTATTTCCCAGGTACTGTTGGGGACTGGAAGAACACCATGACTGTTGCCCAGAGTGAAAGGTTTGACCGTGTCTTTAAGGAGAGGATGGAAAAGCTGCCCTTCAGGTTCTGCTGGGATATTCAGGAAGATCTTGAGCCTATTTCCAGCTCAGTGGAGGAAAATAATGTGTGATGCACAACTTCAAATGGCTTGGATCAGAGATGACCTTCCAAGAACAGTCTTTCTGTAACCTTGTAATGCTTAAGTCTCAACTCTGCAGAGATCATAGAACAGAGCAACATCAAATTCTATGGTATTATTAAATATTGTATGGCATTTGCTTATTGATTTATATTTCCATTACTGACTGACTCTGGGTGTTATATATGAAATAAAACCCCACAAAGACAACATAGCAAATAAAAAAAATATAATATCAACAAAAAAATCCAAAGCTGATATAGCTACAACAGCCAGACCTATTTATTATACTTTCCGCCTCCGTGAAGATATATGTTGCTTGATATATCATCTTAGCCCAACTCCTACGGGAAAAATCACATTTTTAAGGCTTTTTTTTCTTTTTTTCTTTTTGAAGGCTAACAGACCCATGGCCCTACAAATCTTAGCACTCTGTGGATAGGGTGGAGAAGACACTGAACCAGAAAAGGCATATCTCCTATGTTGCGTCCTAAGCCTACAAATGCAGACTCGAGACATTGCAAGGTTCCCGGGCAATTGCAAAAACTGCCCGGGACCAGACTGAGTGGCGCCGGCCGAGTGCGCATGCGCAAGGCACGAAAAGTGCCTAGTAATGTTGCCATCTTGTCTGGGGAATTGGGACGTATAAAAGGAGGCCTGCGTGCCTTTGCTCGTTGTTGGAGTTGGAAATAAGTACAACAATTGGATGTGTTAATTGGATTTCCCTTATCTACTAAGTAAATCTATGACAAATTAGATCAACTTTGTTTGGCCAGACTTGTTTTTACACCATATACATCCTGTTAACTAAATTATCTAGCATGACAAGCCAAGTGCTTACAAACACACCTTTCATTAATCTTTTTGATATCAAGGTGACAGCGCTCTAGTTTCCCAGAACTTCCTCCTTCCTTTTGAAAAGACAGAAACTTTTCTTCAGAAACCTCATCACTCCTACAGGAGTTCATGGAAATAACGAAGAGTGGTTCTGTGATCACCTCTGTTACTCTCTATTGGAATAGATTATTCACACTTCACATCATTTCTAAAGATGCTTAATGGTTGTTCATATTGCACTTCACAGCACAAACACATCTTACCTTTTTCATTTCTTCATAAGAGAGGAAGAGAATATTGAAATCACCCTTATGAGCATACCAGGCTTCTACATGGTCTAGCCACGAACTACAAAACACTGGTAGGAGAGAAATTAATTTAGTGTAAACATGAGGGCAGTCTTGAAATCACTGAGTTCAGTTGTTCAGCTCAGGGCTGCAATGATCCAGCTGACCATCTGTCTTGAGGTGATGATGTGAACATGCACACTTCATCTCTTGCTGTCCCAGTCTTTTCTAAAATGTTCTTTCTAAAAGAAATGTTCTTTTCTCACTGCTCCCTGTAACAATTACTACTTGGGAATTAAGAAATGCACCCTGATGGTCGCATTGAGGGAAATATTTTTAAGGAGTAGCAAAACCCCCTTCAAATTTTGCTGTGATATTCATCATGAATCCATTTTCAGCTTGCTGGAAATAAAACAAAATAAAATAAAATGAAGCACAGCAAGGAGGTTTCAGTTGTACTTGCTTGAAAAAAATGGCAAAGCACTTATTTAGAACAATTCCTGCACAGTGCTGATATCTTAATCCTGAGCTATATGGCTGATTACATTTTGGACTATTCCATTATTAGTTGGCCCAATAAAGGTACAGCACTGAGACATGAGTATCACTCTCTCCTTCCACTCAGATGTAGACTCCAACCGTAGACAGTTGCAACAGTGCTGAAAAAGTAATTTTGCAAGCAATCCTCACATTAATGTCCTTTGTAAAGCAAAGGAAAACTAAAGTAAGAATGTTACATTGTGATGCTTCACTTAACAACTGCTTCTCTTAACCCCCAGGTTGTGGGTCCTAATTGCAGTTGCTAAACGAGGATTACCTGTAGTGATGATGTGAACACTGTCGTCACATCTTTGCATTTGGAACCCGAGGACCTAAATCACACAATTTGCATTGTGATGTCATGATGCACACTTCACCTCTTGCTGCCCCAGTCCTTTCTGAAATAAATAAGAAATGTTCTTTTGCTCATTGCTACCTGCACTTTCTCTCTGCTCCCTGTAACAAATACACCTTAGGAATTTTGAAATACAACCCGATGGTTGCCTTGAGTGAAATCCTTTTAAGGAATACAAAACCCCCTTCAAATATTGCTGTGATATTCATGATGAACTGAATCCATTTCCAGCTTGACGAAAAATAAAATAAAGCACAGCAAGGAGGTTTCAGTTGTATATGCTTGAAAAAAATGACAAAGCACTTATTTATATCTTAATCCTGAGCTATATGGCTGATTACATTTTGGACTACTCCATTATTAGATAAGCTTAACAATGTTCACTGGGAAAATATAAACTTCAGAATGGGACAAGAGAAAAGATTTCACGAAACCTGTGCATGAAAAAGGAAATCTTAGCAGGGATTGGTTGCTCCTGTCTTTACAATTGAAAGGGGAGACATAATTATGGCTACAGGTAGTTCTCAACTTACAACCACAATTGGGATGGAACTTCCATCGCTAAACGAAGTGGTTGTTAAATGAGTTACCTCTCCAATTTTACCACCTTTTTTGCTACGGTTGCCAAGTGGAGCTATTGACTCTTCCCCCATTGACTCTGCTCAAGAAAAGCCACCTGGAAAGGCTGCAGATGATTTTTGGCAGTTGCTTGAGGTGCCTCTCACCAAGACACTGAATGTAAATTTTGAAAGCCTCTTTTGTCACCTAGCCCAGTGCTCCCTCCAACCATTGATAAGCTTCTTACAGAGTAAAGAGAAGAATCATCGCTTGACTTTGGGGTTTTGAAGATTCGTTTCAATTTGACTAGAGAAAGATTGTAGTTTTTCAAATATAAGTTTATTTTCATTTGATAACTATCTTTTAAAGGAAATTAAGAGAACATTTTTTTGAATACTAGCTTATAGTAAGTTGGCTTCTAGTATTTTAAGATAGTTTATAGATTGGTGTTATTTCTTAAACTTAGAGTCAAGTTGTATTGTTACTATCGCTGAACTAAAAGAAAGTTGGAGGTCACCTTTGTTATATTTGTTAAATGTATTTTTTCCCCTTTAGGGCACCTTTAATGTGTTTTGTCATTCCTTTTCTCTTTTAGGTTGCTTTCTATTTTAATATATGATGTTCAAACTTCGTAAAGATATTATAAAAATCCCCAATATTTAAGGGTGTTCTGGCTTTACATTATTAAGGCTGTTTTATTTGTGAATGTCATCACATTAAATAGAACTGGCAAACCCCTGTCCTTAACTGATGCCAAAACATTGAGCTTACTACAATCTGCTACCTTAGCCCAAATTTCTTGTTTCTCTCACCTGATATCTCCACGCTCCCCTCTCCCCTTTCTCAGACCAAACTGACGAGGCACTATTAGAGCCACATCATCAGCCTTTAAAAGAATATTTATATGTTTACCACAGATCTTGGATATATGATGTCTGAACCATACAGGAATCTTGGATTATTTTTGACATAGAGATTAAAAAGCAACCTTGTCTAATACCTTTATGAGTAAGCATACTCTGATTTAGAGAACCATTTATACTCATGCACACTTTTAAAGTGGTACCTGGAAAAATACTGATGGTCCGACAAAGGATGTGTATAAAAGGCAGATGGCCCAACAAAAATGTGGGTAAAAGGGAGGTTTGTTTTGCTTACTAGACAACTCTTAAATTTAGGATGGCCAGACATCCTGTTCCCAGCTCTGCACATGATATATTACTAACTGCCTGTCACATGGTGTAACTAAACTGCTTAACACTTGATATATTACTAAAAGCATTCCAATGTAAACGAGGAGCTATCGATTATAGATCTGTCTAGTAGTTTTGCTATGTTAGAATAAGGACCTATAGAATGTATCCATGTGAGGAATGTGACCTGCTCAGGAAATAACTCTGCTTGAAGGGTTATAAAAATGGTCATCAAGGACCAGGCTTTCGTTCAGAATCTTTAGCCACGATGGCTCTCTGAACCTGCGCAATAAACTTCCCTTTCCTGGAAAGAGCTGACTCAAGTCTTTCAATTCTACAACATTTTCTGGTGCGTTGGCCGGGAAAAGCTTGAGTGAGGCGATATTTTGCTGAGGACGGCTTGACCCTTAGGATCTGCTGGTAAGCCATCTCTGAACAATTCTCCAGGCGCCGTGGGGGTGTGTTTCCTCCAGGAGACAGCTGTGGCCGACAGTACTGAAAGCCAGTCCAAGAACCCTTTGGGAAAGGAAAGGAAGTCTGAACCAACTCCTGGCCAGGACGGGTGTAACTACAAGGCAGGCGAGTATGTGTTTAAAGTAATGGTACCTATCTCATTTGAAGATAGAAGAGGGGGCCTGATCACTCCCCTGGACTCGGGACGGCGATCCTAAAGAAGTCCGTGTTAGGTTGTGTGGGTGGTTAAGCCAGTGCATTCCCTACTAGTGATCATTGGAACGTCCGGCGCTGTAGGTCATTGGCAGTGTGTTAGGATGGGGGGGCGTAGTAGCATTCCCAGCACCCCTCTGGAATGCATGTTAAAAGGATTTGATAATTATTTTAATCGTACCCAGTATAGGGTCCCTTACCCTAAAGTAACTAAGGATAGACTGAGGTATCTGTGTGAATATCAATGGCCCTTCATGGATGTGGGGTGGCCCCCAGAGGGAACTTTTAACCTTCAAATCATTGATAACCTAACCTCCCTGATAGCAGCAAATGAAGAAAAATATCCTAACCAATTTCAGTATATTGATCAGTGGGGGGATGCGGTTGCAGAACGGGCAGAGGATTTGTTGGAATGTCAGGCTGAGATGGTTCGTTTGTGTGTGGCTAGACCCAAAGAAAAAAAGCTTCAAGTGCAAACTAAAAGAGTGAAGGATGTGAAGATTTCAGAAACCAAGGTGTCAGATGCTAAGAAGGAGATAAGGATGGAGGTAGAGGAGTTGATTCTCAGACCTCCTCCCTACGTTCCACCTCTCTCCCCCTCCCCCCCCCAGTGCCGGCTGCAGCAGCAGCCGCTCTGCCGGAGGAAGGGCTGATTGCCCCTGCTGTGTCCGAAGAAAGGCAGCCAGCTGTGAGATGAAAACAGAAAGGGAAGCCGTCGGCCCCTATGGAGGAAAGGGAGCTACGGGAGACAGATTTCCCTTTGGAAGTTAGGGAGGAGCTGGGTGAAGAGGATGAGATAGAAAGCGATGCAGGAACGGCTGTGGCATCTGGCATTGTGACGCGAGCGGCTGCTGCAAAGGCTAAGGCTGTAAGACCTGAAGTGGTAGCTCCCTTGAGACAGGTGGACCAGGCAGTGCCAGATCAGCAGGGAGCTGTACAGATTAAGTCCATGTTCCAGTATGTTCCGTTCACTACGACGGATCTTTTGAACTGGAAGGAACATTTTGGCCCTTTGACTACTAAGCCGGCTGAAATGGCAAGCTTGTTTCAGACCATTATGCGCACCCATAATCCAACGTGGCAGGATGTGCAACAGTTGTTAGATACTTTGTTGACTCCTGAGGAAAAGGAGAAGTGGAGAACTGCGGTTAGGCAGTGTTTGAAGGATAGGTTGCCGGCTGTGCGGGATATACAGCCAGAGATGGAAGCCAGGGCACCAGAAAAGGACCCTGAATGGAATGCACAAAATCCAGCACATATGACTTTGTTAAAGGAATATCAGAATCTAGTGGTGGAGGCTCTTCGCAAGGCTGGAAAGCCTCCTGTGAATATGTCAAAACCCTCTTTAGTGATGCAGGAAGCAGATGAAAGTCCGGAAAGTTTCTTGCAGAGGTTGATTGAAGCTTATGAGCTTTATACACAGGTGGATCCAAGGAGTGCAGACAATGTGCAGATGTTGAATGAGAGATTCATAGTGCAGAGTTATGAAGATATAAGAAAGAAGTTGCAGAGGCTGGAGGGAGCATTAGGAAAGAACACTACAGAATTGTTGGAGGTGGCTAGGAAGGTGTTTGTTAATAGGGATAAGGTGGAAAAACAGGAAAGAAATGCTAGAATGCATAAGAAAACTGAGTTGTTGGCTGTGGCATTGCAAGGAGGGATCATGCTGGGACCTAATCAGTGTGCTAATTGTAAGGAGGAAGGGCATTGGCAAAGAGAATGTCCAAAAAGGCAGATGTGAGGTAGAGGTTGGAGAGGAAGAGAGGAAGAGGCCGTGGAGGTGTTGGCAGTGGGCCCCCCATGTGCTCCCCCTTCATGGGTAGAGGGCAGAGAGGGGCTCCAGGGAATGTAAGAGATGGTCTGAGGAATGTGAGAGATGGTTCGAGGAATGGGAGAGATTGGAATAGAGACAGGGAGATTGAAGGAATTGGATTGGCAGGAACTAACTGGTCGGATTGACGGGGACCTGGCTTGGAGGAAGCCCCCCCTGAGCCATTGGTTACTTTAAATATAGGGGGCAAACAGACAACGTTTTTGGTGGATACTGGAGCAGGCAGATCAGTTGTGAATAATCAAGTTGCTGAAATAGGACCCCATAAAATTCAGATTCAAGGAGTGTCAGGGGAGATTCTAGGGCGTTCAGTCTTACAGCCTGTCACGTGTGTGTTTGAGGGCTCAAAGATTCAACACGAGTTCTTATTTGTCCCTGAATGTCCGGTTTCCCTGCTAGGTAGGGACCTACTTAGCAAGCTAGGGGCCACTATTTCTTTTGATGAGGGATGACAAACACTTCAGATTAAACACCAGCCAGAGGCAATGTGGAGATTGATGGTTAACAGGACTGTGGAAGAGGAGGTTGTGGATGAGACATGGAGGGAGTTTGGAGTGCCGGGGCTGTGGGCTGAGGATAACCCCCCTGGTTTCGCAGCTCACCATCCCCCTGTGATTGTGGAAACGAAACCTTTAGCAACGCCTGTGCGTATCAGGCAGAGATCTTGCTCCAAGGAGGCTATAACTGCTATATATGAGAGCATCCAAAACTATTTAAAAGCAGGCATTTTGGTGCCCATCCAATCACCTTGGAACACCCCTATTTTGCCTATTAAAAAGCCCGATGGTTCCTTTCGACCAGCACAGGACCTAAGACTCATAAACTCCATAACTGTCACGATCCATCCTGTTGTGCCCAACCCCTACACATTGTTGAGCTTAATTCCTCCAACTGCAAAGTGGTTTTCAGTTGTGGATTTGAAAGATGCTTTTTTCATGATTCCTATTCACAAGGCTAGCCAGCCGTTGTTTGCTTTTGAGTGGGAAAATCCAAATACTGGGCAAAAAGCACAGTATACCTGGACCAGGCTGCCACAGGGCTTTAAAAATTCACCTACCCTGTTTGGAACAGCCTTAGCAGAAGATTTACAGCATTTTGTGCCCCGACAGAGGGGTGACACGCTTCTGCAATATGTAGATGATGTGCTGGTGATAGGCAGAACTGAAGAGACATGCTGGGAGAACACAGAATCTCTTTTACATCTACTGTTGAAGTGCAGCTATAGGGTCTCCAAAAAGAAGGCACAATTAGTCAGATGGAAGGTGAAGTATTTGGGATATGAGATTGAGGAGGGGCATAGGGCTTTAGGCTGGGAGAGGAAACAAGCTGTGCTAGCTATTGCTGAACCCCTTAATAGGCGGCAACTGAGGGGCTTTTTAGGTCTGGCAGGGTTTTGCAGGATATGGATACCAAATATTGCTCTATTAGCAGCACCTCTTTATTCAGCTACAAAAGGAGGTGATAGAGAACCTTTTGAATGGGAGGGAGAACAAAAGAATGCCTTTAGGGAAGTGAAACGAGCCCTCACATCAGCTCCAGCTTTAGCCTTGCCTAACTTAGAAAAGCCTTTCAATTTGTATGTTGATACCAGGGAGAATGTTGCCTTGGGGGTGTTAACTCAACAATTAGGACAGTGGCAACGCCCGGTGGCTTACTTATCTAAGCAATTAGATGGGGTTGCCCAAGGCTGGCCACATTGTCTGAAGGTTCTTGCTGCTATAGCAGTCCTTTTACAGGATTGTAATAAATTGACCTTCTCATGTCCCATAAGTGTCCACACCCCTCATGCAGTTCATTCTATCTTGGATAATAAAGGGCATTTGTGGATCAGCAGTCAAAGGCTTTTTAAGTATCAGGCGATGATGATTGAAAATCCTCAAGTGAAATTAGTGGTGTCTAACCGGCTAAACCCTGCCACCCTATTGCCCACAGAAGTGGATTCAGAACACAACTGCTTGCAAGTTTTGGAAACTGTATATTCAAGCCGTCCAGATTTATCTGATATTCCTCTTCAGGATGCTGCCCTGAATTGGTATACAGACGGCTCGAGTTACATGCAGGATGGGAGGAGGGTTTCTGGATATGCGATTGTGAATGATGAGGAAGTGGTGGAAAGTAGTCCACTAGGAGCAAGCTGCAGTGCTCAAGTGGCAGAATTGTGGGCATTAATTAGGGCATTGGAAAGAGCTGAAGGGGAAACTTTAAATGTCTGGACAGATAGTAAATATGCTTTTTTGACTCTGCATACTCATGGGGCTGTGTATAAGGAAAGGGGATTCAGGGATTCTGCGGGCAAACATGTGTTGCATGGACATTTGATCAAGCGACTTCTCGATGCTGTGCAGAAACCAGCAAAAGTTTCTGTGATGCATTGCAAAGGACATCAGCAAGGGGTGGATCAGGTGGCTCAGGGGAATAGAAGAGCTGACTTGGAAGCTAAGAAGGTGGCAATGAAAACAGGGCCATTCCTGATCTGTCAATATGTGTGGCAATAGACATAGGGGACTTGCCTCCTATCATTAAACCAACATACTCTCAGCAGGAGTGTGTGAAAGCAGTGAATGATCTCAAAGCTACTATTAGGGATGGGTGGTATCTTTTGCCTGATGGACGTATTTTTGTCCTTCAATCTTCAGCATGGGCTTTACTTCAGGCAGCACATGAAACAACACACATGGGGAAAACTGGATTGGATGCTGCTATTGGGAGGGATTACTATGTACATGGGTCAGCTGGGATAGCTGCTCGAGTGGTTTCACAATGTGGCATCTGTGCTAAGGTCAATCCTCGACAAGGGCCCCTACTACCACCTGGGACCATACCTGTTTCTTACTTTCCTATGGACTCTGTCATGGTTGACTTTACAGACATGCCAAGATGTGGACTATACAAAGCTTTATTGGTATTTGTGGATAAATACACTGGCTGGCCAGAGGCTTTCCCTACAAAGACTAAACAAGCCAGGGAAGTGGCAAGACTATTGTTAAAAGAACTAATACCTCGTTTTGGTTGCCCGTCTTTTATTTCCTCTGATAATGGTCCTGAGTTTGTTCATCAAGTTAATCAAGCAGTGGCTACTGCTGTGGGATCCAAATGGCGATTTCATTGTGCTTTTCATCCTCAGTCCGATTCGAATTCTGAACGAATGAATCGCACACTGAAAGAGAAAATTACTAAGATCTGTGCTGAAAGTCACCTGAAATGGCCTGATGCATTGCCCTTAGCTCTCTACGCTGTGAGATGTGCTCCACGTAGACAATACAACCTATCCCCATATGAGCTGATGTTTGGGTGTCCTCCTACGCTGCTGAGAAGAAGTTTGGCTGGATGGCCTGATTTGGGCCATCAGGGGGGAGTATGGGCTCTGAAAATGGTGCAGGAACTGAATAAGCAAGTGGAAAAACTTAGGAATTATGTTGTTGAACAAACACCTCCTAAACTAATAACAAGATGTCATCCCTTTAAACCAGGGGATAGGGTGTGGGTGAAACATTGGAAACATGAACAACTGGAGGGGAGATGGAAAGGACCTTATGAAGTAATAATGGCCTCCCCTTTAGCAATAAAGATTGCAGAATCTAAATCTTGGATTCACTGGACCAGAGTTAAAGCAGCTGCAGAACCTCTGTGGACAGTGAACAGGGACCCCAAGGTTCCCACCAAACTCACTCTTAAACGTGTTTTGTATGTTTAAGGAATATTTTATTGTTTGTAAACCAGATATTGTATTAGCACAAGTGTATCCTGCACATATATCTACGGCTGTCTGGCTGAAATTCAACCCCTTGCTAAGCCACACCCGGAAGCTGGCTTTCTACGCACGGGAGAAGAAATGTTTAAGGAATATTTTATTGTTTGTAAACCAGATATTGTATTAGCACAAGTGTATCCTGGACATATATCTACGGCTGTCTGGCTGAAATTCAACCCCCTGCTAAGCCACACCCGGAAGCTGGCTTTCTACGCACGGGAAAAGAAAGGATGAAAGGCTTCCTTCTGCTTTTATATAGTACTATTGTTGCATGTAATAATGTTTGTCTTTCTAATTTAGGCCAATGGAGCAAGCCAGAAGAAGCTCCATGCATTATTCAATCTTATGCTATAGGCACGGGCACTTGTGAAGGTCACCCCCCTATTGGATTTTCCCCAGAATGCTGGAATGGTAGCTGGCCTCATCCTTGTCAATTTCCCCAAGCATTTGACAGAATAGTTAAAGAAGCCTGTATGACAAGACAACCTGTCAATCCCGAAGCCTGTCAGTATGTTGGGTATATTCTTAGGAAAGGCATATGTATAAAGGCCCCATATAAGAAGCCTCCTCCTCCTGTTACTGTGGAGTGTGGGCCTCCCTTATTCTGGGGATGGGAGCGGGTCACCCTAGTCTCGCAGTTGAAGATGGGATGGAAGGGGACTTGCATCGTACATATTATCCCGGTGGAATTTGGAGTAACTATCCAAAGACCCCCGAGGAAGCGCCTAGAGAGAAAGCGAAGTAAAAGGTCCCAGCAGAATAAGGATATGCCCCATCCATTGGAGTCAAGGATGCAATATAATTTGTGGGTCCAATTGGCTAAACTAGCCAACACAACTGATTTTTGCCTTTCTGAAGCATATGACATGGAGAATCTGCTGTCCACATGTTTAATACCTGTATGTGTTCCTGTCACAGCAGCCAAGGAGTTCAGTCACCACAAGTTTAAAGAACATATAGGCTATGAAACAATGTACAGCTGGGGTCACATTTCCAAGTTTCTACCCACGGATGCTTTAGCTTTACATACTCCTAACGTAGCCATTCCAGAAGACTTACAATGTGCACATATCACAGGGTGTGAGCAGAATACACCTTCACCTCATTGCCTGAAAGTGAGCCAAGAAAGGCTAAATTGCACATCTTTCCAAACAATGTCTTTTGGGTATGCAAACATATGGTTACCTAAAGGGTGGTTCTTCACTTGTGGGAAAGACACTTTCAATTATATTCCTGCCAACATAAACACATCATATTGTTGTCTAAGCAGACTGACGACCTTTCTACCAGATAGATCTCTTTTCACCTCCCCTAACACCACACGATACAAAAGGGCTGAGGTACTAACAGAGGATTGTGAGTCATCCCGCACTCTTCTAAATGCAGCAGAATACAATGCTTTGGCTGTCTCATTAGTGGGAGTTCCTGCACTTGCTCTGAGGGCCCATGTCAATATAAATTCTGTGGCCTGCAACTTGGCTAAAACTATAAATGCCACTTCAATAGCCTTGTCTGCCATCAATCAGGAGATGATAGAATTACGCAAGGCCATTTTGCAAAATAGGGCAGCCATCGACTATCTTTTACTTCGCCAACATATGGGATGTGAGGCCTTTGAGGGGATGTGTTGTTTTAACCTCTCAGATCAATCCCCCGTCATAAATAAACAAATCAAAGTACTCCATAAAATGGCCTCAGAGCTGCAAATAGATTCTCTGGGAAATTGGTGGAGTAGCTTATGGTCTTGGCTCCCTATACGCCTTATTGGAAACATCATAAGAGCAGTAATCATTTTTATGGCTATTCTAATCAGCAGCTGTTGTCTTCTGCAATGTACCTTTTCAATGATGCACAACATAACACTACCTAAACGAGTGTCCATGCTTGCAGAGAGAAAAGCTACAGCTCAGGTTATGGCTATGTGGGAATTCCAGAGACAAGAATATAACAACATAAATACATCAGACCCCAGTGTTACGGAATGAAACTTATCTGCAAGGATGAGATAAGTCTCATCAGGGGGGAATAAAGTGGTACCTGGAAAAATACTGATGGTCCGACAAAGGATGTGTATAAAAGGCAGATGGCCCAACAAAAATGTGGGTAAAAGGGAAGTTTGTTTTGCTTACTAGACAACTCTTAAATTTAGGATGGCCAGACATCCTGTTCCCAGCTCTGCACATGATATATTACTAACTGCCTGTCACATGGTGTAACTAAACTGCTTAACACTTGATATATTACTAAAAGCATTCCAATGTAAACGAGGAGCTATCGATTATAGATCTGTCTAGTTAGAATAAGGACCTATAGAAAGTATCCATGTGAGGAATGTGACCTGCTCAGGAAATAACTCTGCTTGAAGGGTTATAAAAATGGTCATCAAGGACCAGGCTTTCGTTCAGAATCTTTAGCCACGATGGCTCTCTGAACCTGCGCAATAAACTTCCCTTTCCTGGAAAGAGCTGACTCAAGTCTTTCAATTCTACAACATTTTCAAATAGTATTTGAGTAAAGGGTCTTAACCAGCAGTAAGATTCAGGGTTCAAAAGCCCTCCTCCACATGATAGAATGACCAGGCCCTAATTGTTTGCTTGAAACACAGAACAAATGAAGCAAACTGTGGCTGTCTATTGGGAGGAAATTCCTATGTATGGTGATTGTGATTAAAAAAAAGTGGGGGGGGGATAGATTTAATTAAGATGCCGAGGTAAACTGTTTTAAACAAAGATATATTTTTGGTCTTATTTATATTGGGATAATAAAAAAAATACAACCTTCCTGTGTAGGAATCTGCCAGAATTTTTCCAGGAAGAAACTGAGCAGAAATGTATGATACAATTGTAATACATATGTGTGATTGAAGCTGTTACAATATAGTTCTGCATTTTTATGAATATATACTTGTGGCGTGCACTTTTGTTCTTAGTATTGCTCTCTACTTTATGGAGCAACCTTAAGTAATATGGCCTACAGCAACCTCCTCTTTTTCAGAATGTTGGCTGTGGAATTCTAGGAGTTGAAGTCCACATGTCTTAAAGTTGCAATGAGTGGGAAACAGTTTACTACAACCTTTTCAAGTACCTTGATCAAGAAGGATATATGTGCAATAGGACAATAGTTCTCAAATGCTTTTCAGGCTTGTCCTCATTTGCTCTTCCCGTGGGTAGTAGCAATAGCTACTTAGACATATATACCACTTCACAGTGCTTTAACGTCCCCTCTAAGCAGTTTACAGAGTCATCATATTGCCTCTAACAATCTGGGTTCTAATTTTACCTGTCTTGGAAGGATGGAAGGTTGAGTCAACCTTCAGCAGATGAGAATCAAACTGCTGGCAGTCAGCAGAATTAACCTGCAATACTGCGTTCTAACCACTGAGCCACCAAGACTCTTAATGCTTAAAATGCTTTGAGAAAAGCATAATAAGACATCCCTGGATTGTATGAGTGCTATTGATCAACCCTCTAATACTGAAAACACATATACTAACCTACCCAACCACCTACACACTCACACACAATGGTGTAGACCCCTTCAAGTTACTCCATGGAAATATCCACAAAGCTGACAATAATATAGAAGTGTTTTGTCATGATCCCTTATCCCTTCTGATCCCTTTTTGACTACGGTAGTCAGTATGTTTGTGCAACCATTTTATCTGAACTGACAAAGTTTAAAGTGACAGCTGAATATTTGCCAGCATCTCTTTGAATAAATGAGCAGTTACATAAAATTAGGATGAACAACATTGTTACAATTATTAACCCAATGTATTGAACTTGGCTACTTCTGGAAAAAACAAACTGTTATCAGTGTCTACACAAATCAAGAACATGCAGTTCAATCAAAGATTGCAAACTGCACAATGAAATTATTCCTTACATAGCCTGAAACACATTGTGTCCCATACAGATTATACAATAACCACACTAGGCCCCTCAGAACTCTACAGCTTTCATTTTCCATGCATATATAAAATTATCCTTTCTTCCTTTGGCCAAATTCTTTCCTTTCAGTTTTTTTACCAGCAGCCCAGCAGCTCCATATCCAGGTTGTCTAGAGAAGGAGCTGAGCTCTATGGTACATTTTTCAGTGAATACTCAAAAGCCATGAAAACCAATGCGACTCTTGTTAATATTTATTTATTTATTTATTTATGAGACTTATATACTGCTTTAAGTGCAAGCACTCTCTAAGCGGTGTATACCAGTAAGCAATGTATATATATATTTACATTGCCCCCAACAATCTGGGTCCTCATTTTACCTACCCAGGAAGGATGGAAGGCTGAGTCAACCTTGAGCCAGTGAGATTTGAACCGCTGACCTGCTGAACACAGTCAGCTAAAGTGGCCTGCAGTACTGCACTCTAACTGCTGCGCCACCAACAATTGATCCAGTGTGAAATTCTAATTATGTATTCTCACCATATTGAATGGATTTTTATGGAACAGATGTAGGCTGACTTTTCAGCTAAGACCTTTCTGGTATGATTGCATCTATTCAGCACAGCTCTTAGATAGAGCATGCAGGGGCTTACCCCACAAAGAAGTACTGTTCCCTTTGGAGTGGGAAATAATATAACAATTCTGGTAAGTTTATATATGGAAAGGAATCATAGATGATCAATCTAAGATTGGAATCTAGGTTTGAACAATAACAATGCAATAACATTGTTCTTGCTGCATTTCCTATTGGTAAATCATAATTCTTCATATAATGATATATTCCTAATACTTGGCATGTAAATCAGAAGTATACTTGTATCTTTAAAACATACTGATTTTTATAGCAATACTTCAATAGGTTTATGGATAGAAAATGAGACCAGAGTGATAGAAGTCTTCTACATCTGATAAGAAAGTACCCCTTTATCTGTTTTACATTTCCAGAATAAGTTGATAGCCAATCCTTTCTCTAATATGTTCAATAAAAAATACATTTTCTTAATATTAAATATCAAAAACCCAAACATTCCAAATATTCTTTAAAATCCCTAACCATTGATTTGGTAATATGGAACATTGCTATGAATTAGTATTTCATAACTGGCCATGTAACTTGCTCTTATGTATATTTAATCTGGATTTTTTAGTTTTTCAGTATTTTTATTTTTAAAAATTTTTTAGGGTTAATCATAATAATTTTTTTTAATTGTAAGCTTCTCAGAGTCATTGGCTTGAGATAGGTGGCTATGGAAATTAAACAAGCAAACAAACTTGGCAATTTTGAATTGCAGGGAATTCAACTCCTAGAATTAGTAGCAATAGCCATGCTGGCTGGGCATTCTGGAAACTGAAACCTCTGCATCAACACATCTTAAAGATGATGAAGTTTGGAAATACAGCTGTGAATGTAGGCTTAATGCTTGCAAGAAAAGTGCAAATATTCACAACAGCTTAGAGGCAGGAATTCTCAGTATCTCTTCCAGAAAGCTTAGGGGACTGAATGGCTTCATTAACCCCAATATTGCCTTCAATGGTCTGGTAATTTGTTATTATTTTGCATTGCTTTATTTAGTATGCTTTATGTTTATTTATTATTTATTAAGCATTAATATCCGCAAATGACCTAGAGCATGGGTCAGCAACCTGCGGCTCCGGAGCCGCATGCAGCTCTTTCAGCCATCTCCTGCAGCTCCCTGTCCACAGAGCTCGGCCTGGGTGGCCACGGCCCTTTGCCATCCTCCTGCTGCCACAGGGCTCTCCACCAGCCTGCCCCACCTTGGCCCAGGCAGCTGCAACCCTTCGCCATCCTCCCGCTGCCGTAGCGCTCTCCATCATCCTGCCCCACTTCGGCCTGGGTGGCCACGCCCCTTCACCATCTTCCCACTGCCCCACTTTGGCCTGGGCGGCCACGCCCTTCGCCTTCCTTCCACTGCTGAGGGACTGTCCACCGCCTTTACATACCTTGGCCCGGGCAGCTGCAGCTCTTCGCCGTCCTCCCGCTGCCACTGCTGCCACTGGGCTCTCCGCCACCAACCCCTTCTTGTCTCCATCGGTGGTGCCTTCCTTGGCCTGGGCAGCCGTGCCCCTTCACCATCCATCCGCTGTTGCCGTCGCCGCTGCCGGTCACGCTGAATGAGGCCAGAGAGGAGGCGGCGGCAACCGGGCAGCCATGGCCCTTCGCCATCCACTCACCACCACCTCCACTGCCGGGAGTACCGAAGGTCCCGAAGGTTCCCTCCTGTTGCGGATCCACAGTGCCTGGGCTGTAGGGGAAGGGGTTGTGGGGATATTTGGGGCCTAAAAAGTTTTCCAGGACAGGCTTGGGGCTGGCCCTCTTTCCCTGGCCACAGGAGAAGAGGCGGCGCAGGGTCTCCACTTGGGCAGGCAGGCGAGTGAAATCCCGAAACATTTCACATGTTTGCAAAGAGAAGCACACCGCATTAGCTGGCACTGCAGGAGGTGGTCTTACAGCAATGCTGACAATCCGGCGTCTTGTTCTGCAGGTAGCAAACGAGAGGCATTTGCGTCTGCAACACCCTTTGGGAAGGGTTAGCCACGACCTGTGACGGTACCAGCCCTGTTCCTGTTTCTGCCCTGGTTTGATAAATTGAGATGGAAGGGTGAGCCCAGAGTAGAGGTATTGAGACATCCGTTCTACCAAAGCAGAGTTGAAAGTGCACGTTCCCAGCAGGTATTAAATCAGCCTGGATCAGCGTTTCTCAACTGCAGCAACATTCGGCCCGGGGAGGGGGAGCTGGACAGGGACAGGGACAGTGCATGTGTTGCCTTAGGCTCCACTCTTTAATCAAGCCCCATTACGTTTGTGTGCGCATGCGTGCATTTTGCGGCTCCTAGTTTTTTCTTTTGTGAGGGAAACGGATCCAAGTGGCTCTTTCACCATTTCAGGTTGCCGGCCCCTGACCTAGAGTCTTTTAAGTGCTGAGGTAAGGATAAATCTCACCAATAAATCAAGCTGCTGAAAATGCTTTTTGAAAAAAAATGAGGCTGTATTTATTTCCTTCACCACTGAATGGG